AGAATATGCGTAGAACTTCTATTTCTTTGGATAGTTTTTCTTTATTTGTTTGCACTGTTTTTGTTATTGACTTTCTTTGGGTTTTTATTTACTATGGGTGGTATTACTGCTGTTATTTTTATCTAATTCTAATTTTGTTTTCCATGATATTGTTTTAAAGAATGAGAACTGATTTTGGTGTTTTTGTGGTATCATTCTCTGATCGACTTTTTGACTGGTTATATATAAAATTTTATGATAAAATTTATAATAAAATTTTTATAAACTCTTATGGGTCTATATTAAAATTATTTGGTGCTATAGTATTCTTAGCTATTTCGTTTGATTCTTTTTTTTTCTTTTTTTTTCTGCTTATAGTAATAATGGTGGTTTGGAATGAGGTAGGGATAATTTATCATGGTTCATTGTCTTTTCTCTGGTTTTTATCTTTTTTGACTTCTTAGTGTAATTTAGTGCGTTTGATTTCCAATCTTGTGGTTTAGGGGTTATTAGAGTCTTTTTTTCATGGTTTTATTTTAATTTTATGGTTAGATATTTGCCTGCTATTATGGATTGAATTCCTTGCATTGGTTATAATTTTCTTTTGATGAATTTGGTGTTTGTAGTTTTTTGTTTTCTAATCTTATTGGTAGACATTCTCATCATAAGAGGCTTGAGGATAATTAGCGTTTTGTTGAGTTTTTTGCAGTATTTTTCTTTCTTTGGTTTTGTTATGTGAGTATAGGATGATGAATTTTAACAGGGACTTAAATGCTTTCTTTGGTTTTGTTATGTGAGTATAGGATGATGAATTTTCGGATTATTCTGATTATAAGGTGGGTTTTGCCTTTTATGATTGAGACTACTGAGAATTTACTGAACATTGTGAGAATTTTATTAAATGTATTGCTGGTAGTTAGCATTATAGTTTGTGGGGCAATATATTTGAAGCTGTAGTCATGAATCTTTTCTTTTTTTAGTACTCAATAGAATGTAAATTTGAAATTGGATTTTTATAGGTGTTGTAAATTTATTTTTTTGTTCGGTGAATTTTTTTTGTGTTTCTGATAAGTTTTTATTGGAATTTTTATGTTGTTCAATTAAATTTAAAATCTATTGAGAAATCTATCTAATGTCTATCTATTGAGAACTGAGTGAAAACATTCTAAATCATAAATGTTTTTTTAGATAGGTCTTTGAATTTGATTGGCCTCTGCTCGATTGGCTTGTAGGTGGATGGTTATCTTGATATTGGATGGATGGTAGTGGTGGTAATCCTTCATCTTATCAGCATTTATTTTGGGTTTTTTGGTCACCTTAGGTTATGATTTTAGGTTATGCCTGTTTTTGGTATTGCTAGTCAGAGGAGATTATATTTGACTGATAAGTAGGAGGTTTTTGGTTATTGGGCATGGTTTATTCATGCTATGTTGAAGACTGCTTTAATTGGTTATGCAGTTTGGGCTCATCATATATACTGTAGGTATGGATAAGAATTCCTGTGCTTATTTCTCTACTGCTAGTATAGTTATTGCTGTTCCTATTGGTGCCAAGGTTTTTACATGGTTGACTACTTTTATGGTATGCAGATGGTTTTTCAGCCAGTGTTACTGTGGATTTTGGGCCATGTTTTTTTATTTACTATGGGTTTATTTGACTTTATTATTTTTTATTTTTTTTATTATGTTTCCTGGTGTTATTTTATCTTGGTCTAGCTTAGATGTTGTTTTACA